TGATGATAACAAATTGCCAAAAAAAAAAAGGGGGTCGCAGCACGAACACAGAGAATGACCGAACACACACATATGGGAGGGTTGGCATTTTTTAATTCAAGCGGGACGCACTTGCAAATGTGGTCGGTCAACCCCTATGTCAAATTTTTGGGCACTTCAGCAAAATTCAAAAAAAAAATGCTAAAACTAAGTCATTTTTTTGGCTTCTTTTCAGCTTTTAATCTAAACAGAATTAAGAACCAAATTACACAGGAAAATTAAATGTAAATAACTGTCCTACATTGACATAAAAATTAAAGTTCAAGATTTTCAATTATAAATTCTTTAATCATGTTATTTTATTGATGGAGTTTTCCTAAGTCCCACCTATACCTATAAAAAGTACTTATATACCTATATAAAACTATGAAACCCTAGCTTTGACTCTGGTTTGAACTCTATAAAAACCCAGTGTGTTATTTCTATGCTTCTTCTGGTTATAAAATTAATGAAAACTTTTTTTCAAGAAGGAAAAAAGCACTTATGGCGTCTGCAAGTTATTGTGCAGGATTTATACTAGATTTTATTGTCATTTTGCTAGCCCTACAGTTATATGCTGCAAATGGCTATGAAGGTAGCTGATTAGGGTTTTTCTCAAGTAACTTAAAAGTAGCTTTATTTTTATTTTTTTAATCACAAATTCAGGATAATTTAATTACTCTTTATTTCTTATGTTTTTACAGGTAAAGGAACAACAACTACAAAAGAAAAAGATGGCTCTCTTGAAAATGTAAGCTTCCTTGTTAAAATTATTAATTATTTTCTTTTTCCTTTCTTGGAATAATATAAGTACTTATGTAGTTATGTTAATTAAGTCACGCTTATGTTAATTAAGTCACTTAAATGGTTACAGGGTGATACCTTTTCTGATGCTTCTGCTGATCATGTTAATGGTAGAAACAATCTATGGGGGAGAAAATTGCTGTTAAAATATTCGTCATCAATTAATCAAGACGTCGATGAGTTAATAGAGCAAGGCAAGTGTAAGTTTAAAATTATCAAATATTTAGACCCAACGTTCGAAATTATACCATTAAAAGCAATAAGTCACTTTTTAATTATTTCTAGATAATTAGATCAAACAAATCAATTTATCATAAGTTTGAATAACACAATCAATATTAAAACAATAAAGAACACCAAAAATGATCACCGGAGAAACATCAACTGGGTAAAAATTCCGAGCACTTTGTCAGACGATCTTTGTGACTTGATCAGTTGTTTAATGTGAAATCATATGACTTGATCAACAAAATATATTTTGGAATAATTTATGGATCAAGTAATATGTGGTGGTTGAATTTTGGAATCAATTAATGTTTTGGATCATCAAAGAATTTATCTCTATGGAATCAATCTGATTCAACACACTTTTTGGACGTTCATAGGATGTTTTTCCAATATATATATATATATATTGGAAAATGAGTGCTTGGGATGAAAAGGAATTGAAAAACAAGTGTTTAAAGCAAAACAGATTTCTGAATGTCGAGCCGTCGCTCAAGCGCCAAGCCAACAATAGGAGAGAAGCAGTTGAGCAATCGTCAGTATTTTTATCATAACTTTCTCTCCCGATATCCAATTAAGACGATTTAAAATGTATTGAAAAACTAACTCAAATGAATCCAATTCTTCTAGATGTAGCCTTGTCCAAATTTCAATATTTTCTATGTGAAAAATGCGATGCAAGTTGCTAAGAATTTAGAACATAATTTGTGCGGCTCTAGACGCTCTTTAGACTTCTAATTGCATTCCGATGAACATATATGATCTTTTTGGACATTTTGAATTCTTTCAAAAACTATACTACTAACCTAACTCTTTTTATTTTAATTAGGACTCAATAACTCCTATTTTGACTTTGATACAACTTGATAAACTCCTAATAGAATTCAATTAGGACTTGATTTTAACTAAGAAAAGTGTCCATTATAATTTGGACTTAACAGTTAGAACACAATATAATCAAATATTCTTGGTGCCATTTAATTTGATTCAAATAGTAAAGCTAATTATAATGAAACTAGAAATTATTTAAGTTGATTTTGAAACCTAATTTGCTAAAAAATAATCACACGTGATTTGTGAATATATTGAAATTAGTTTAATTCTTGATAGGACTGAGTTTTTGTTGCATGGAATCTTTCTTTTATTGTAAACTTTGCAAATCATACAGTTGATTGAAGAAATGTAAAAATTATAATTGATTTTAACTACTTAGATGTAGCAGTGTATAAGAAAATTTAGCTTCTTTTTCTTCATTAATACTGTATTGTAATATTAAATAAGTCGTTAAATAATTTAGGTACTTTGCTACAGGAAAACACAGAACTGCTTTACAGAAATTTGAAGCAAATTCAAGAATTTCAATTCCAATGCCACCAAATTCTATCGATCCCGACATAACACCATCCAGTAGTTCTCCTTTTACGGAGAAAGAAGACGATTCACAAGCCGATGAGGTTGTAAACATGCTTCGAATGGACTACAAGGGCCCCAGCAGAACCCGTCAGAAGCCCCCAATCAACAATCATGAGCCTACGGATTAAGGGCAATTCAGCAATTTTGTTCGTTGAACTGTTAGTGATGACCGTTTCCCAATTTTGTCTCCGAAGTGAAGTAAATACTCGACAATGTTTATAAGTAGGATAGTAAAAATATCCACACACACACATATATATATGTATCCTATTGTTCTTACGTTCGACAAATCTAGCAATAAAAGTATAAATAGTATTGTATATCATACGATGCACTTGCTAACTTTCTTAGTGAGTTTCTGATGATGGTAAAAGGTGTCGTGTCGCTCTTTAATCAATTTAACAAGATTTTTTACGAAATTTGAGATTTTTACAATATATGAATCAAAATAAAATAGGTAAGAGCTAAGCGTTTTGAAATATCCCCAAATTCATGCCCATTTCAAGAGGGAAATGGCCCCTTTTATAGGCGAAGCTTCCTCACCATGCAGCCTCAATCACTTCAAGCTACAATGCTCTTTCTTGGGGTGTGTGATTTTCAGGCGGTGAAGTTACTCTAATCAAACTTGCTACATGTACAACATTTTTGTACAGCATATCTTACAGCCCTCTCACATGAAGGGTGGGGCTTGCAATCGTGGGACCCACATTATGTGAGAGAGTTGTACATTGTACAACATTTAAAAACTGTACAAACAGTTTTATTGTACTCTAATTGGTGTGGAAGGGCAGCGCTTGGGACAAAATGATGACCTAGGATTGATCTCCGACTCTAGGTTGTCTTGTCAAAAGCTATGATATATCCATGATGGAGGTGATAATGCAAGTAGGGAGATAATTTGCATTTAAAGCAATCATTAGTTTCTCATTCTTTTACTCCGAGAATTTTTTCCCTTTTTGTTCGAAGTGATTTTTATCAATCTTTAATGAGAATATGAGATCAATGTGATCATATTCTATTCATCTATGAAACTTTCCGAGGTGGATGTCAACATAAAAATCTCTCACATACATGTCATCCGAAGTGTATTGTGCTTCTTCGATTATAACATTTTCTATTGAATGAAAGTCAGACTTTATTTTTTGTAGAATTGAATTATTATTTTTTATTAATAAACTTCTCGTGCATATTTGATACGATCATCTGAATAAAATATCAACAAATATATTACATTGTCAATGTTCGTTTAAATCATTTGGCAAACCAAAGTATAAAACTCAAGAAGTATTACACGAAAGCTAACTTGATAATTTATAATTTCAAATCATTAAAATTTTAATAATGGATTAAACCGAATTATTACTTGAATTTAATCTTTAATTTATTTAATCTTAAAATCTTACCATTTTAAAACTACTATATTAATGATTATATTTGAAATTGCTATAGATAGTATTATTATTTTATTGACACAAACTAATTTATTTATTCGTAAATAACACAAAAATGTAAATAACGAATTAAACGAGACACGGTGGGGAGAAGAAAAAGTAATTGCGCCTTATAGTCAATGTGCTTTAATGTATTTGTTGCTTTGAATAGAAATCACAGTTACATGGGGGAAAAAAATTAATTAACTTCAGTCACTGAAGTTTGTGCAAAAATTCAAGTTTGTCCTTAAAAGTATTTTTATTAACCATTTAGTCACTATGTCTATAACAGTTTTCACTTTATTTCAATTAAGAAACTGTACTTCAATTTTGTTCAATTGGATAACTACATTTTAATTTGATTTCAATTGAATAACATCGTCTAATTTCATCACTTGATCTTATGAAAATCGATGACATTACAATCGGCAAATAAATGACGATCATTATTTATTTCAATGAAATTATACTTATTCGCTTTTACATATTATAGCCATCATTTATTGACAGTCAATGTCATAGATTATCATTCATAAAATTGAACAAAGTTTCCTTATTCTAATCCTCAGTAGTTTCATTTCTGAGGGTTGAGAAAATGAAAGCACGTCTATCTCTATAACAACTATGCATTCTGAGTTGTGAAGTGAGAGAGAAGTGATGTCTGCTCAGCAAAAATAGAGCATTCACCCTGCAATACCCAGTAAATGAGAATGCAATTACAAAACACCACAACAAATCTGCAAGGAAAAGAAAGTTGGTCAAGTTTAACCACAAATCTGTGGACAGATTTATGTTCAAATTAGTTCTAAATGTCAAACAAATTTACAGTCAGTTCCTATTTCATAACGACAACAAAGAAGCGCTACTCATAGCACTTGGTCGGGTGTATTACAACACAGATTGTAGGGTTATAGAGAAACCTATCTTGAGAAGTTAAGACGGAACGGCTACATTTTGGCTCCCATCAAACCGTCTCTAAATGCGATTGCTCAGAACGAATCTTGATATGATAAAAACTTGATTTGAGAACAGTACTGAGCTTGAACCAGTTGGAACAGTCATAAAAGATGTAAAGGTTCACGAGAGAATGAATTCCGACATACCCTCTTTTCATCTTTCACCACCTTCAAGTTCTTCTTGATCCTCAATTTGAGTGTCTTCTTTATTGCTCATTTCACCCCCTCCTTCGTTATTTTCACTACTCTGCCGGAAGAGAAGTGCAGTAGATGAGAAATCGTCTTCATCAAGATCCTCTTCACTTTCATCGCCCCTTGGTCCAGAAACCATATCAGCATTCATCCAAGATGGACACTGATGGATAGCTCCAAGAGCAGCAGGAAACCGGGAGTTTGATGAAGGGCTCGAAGCACGAGATGATACTTTGGTCAAGTTTGTCTTCGAGCAAGAGCACTCAGGAACTGGGAACGAGAGAAAAGAGAGCGGTTTTGATATTGTGGATTCCTTAGTTAATCCATCGACTATGTTTTTTCTAAGATGTCTGCGTACTGATGTTATCCATGTATGATTGGCTTGGTAAAATTGATCACGAATCTCTTCTAAAAGCTTGACGATTTCTTTCCTATATTGCAGGAAGAAAAAATAATAATAAAGAACTAAATTAGAAGAGGAACCTGTCTTAGAAGATAACAGAAAAGAAGATGGTTACAAGAACCCTAAAATAAATATTTAAAAATGATGAGTTGGAAGAAGAATTAGACTCAAAAGACGAGGAACATAGGACACAAATAAAATTCTCCAGAATGGTAAAATTACCTGTCGAAGCGGTATGTTTTAGAGGCAGCAGATTGATAGAGTCGGTGTCCCATTACCAGGCTAGCAAAATTTGGGCTTCCTTTACCATCACGATCAAATCCAGGAATGAACACATCTGCTTCCACACAGATCATGTAGTCTATTGCTTCCCATAGCAATTTATGAGCATTGGTTCTCAACTCCATGACTGTACTTTCCGGTTCATTGTCACTCTCGGCTACCCATCCCCACCAACCTTCGATATTGTATGTTTTTGGACGTGCAGGTGGTGGCGGAAGTGGACGAGGACGTGGTCCGGAAGTTTTCCATGCTTCCATTTTTTTTTCTTCTTTAGCTGGAGGGGGCATTTTAGGAGTTTTGTCGACAAGATTAGCTTCACGGCCATACATTTGATTCAACTCCCATGGCATGCTTAACAAAGTTCTATCTACAACATTCTCAAACATAGCGTGGAGTGGAATTAATTTCTTCTGTCCACCAAAGACCTCTCCCCCAGATACGTAAATAATTGTGTCCCGTGCGTAGCCATATGCTCGAAGAATTATACCAACCTGTAGAAAAGCTTCATTTGACCATAATGAGCCCCTGTTTGTGCTCCATTATTCCACATTATAACAAGAGGAATAGTAATTTTTTGGAAAATGTATGGTTAAAAAAGAAGGAAAAGTTTTTAAGTTTACATATAATATTATTTTATTAGAGAATGTGTGGTTGATAAGAAAAGAGAGAAAAAAGAATTTTAATTTAATGGCGGCCAAACAAGGGCTGAGTTGTGCTCCTAGATGATTTTCATTCCAGAAGTTACCTTCTATGAAGTGACTAAGGGCATGTTTGGCTAAGCATAAAGGTTTACTTACAAGTAAATAATTTTTAATGATTAAAATTGGAAAAAAGTAACTTATTTTGATGATAAGGTAATACTTACTTTCAAAATAAGTAACTATTTTCACGTAAAAAGTAAGAAAATAGAGACTTATCCAGACATGCCTTAAAAGTAACTTTTACTTACTTTTCAGTAGCTGGACATGCCATAAATGATTTCAATCATCAACAGATATCATTTACCAGCTTCCAATTGTCCTTGTATGAACAACATATTTGTGATCTACCATTTTTCCCAGCAGTCAAGATTTCAACCACTCTTCCACCACACTATTTCCCGAAAAATGAAAAAGATCCCCCAGGGAAGTCGGGAAACCAGTATGAGGTGAATTTAGGCAGCAATTTAAACAGATGCTCTGTTTTTTGAAGAGGTAAAACACCAATGGATTCTAAAGATCTAGGTTCAAATAGCATACTACCCAACAAAAATTAAATAACCATTGGCACATTTGGTAAGGCGGATTTGCACATCCTAGACAGTATTAAGTGAAAATTGCCAAAGCTGGTCAAAATATACTTCTTATACACACATTTCATAATACCCACGACTACCACCCACATATTATCCACACATCCCATAAGGCATACAGCTTATTATCACTTATAAGCACTTTCAACCATGCTATAAGAAATACTTCCTATCAAACATTCCTATGATTATAGTGTTACTATGGTAGGGTACCACAACACTTAAAACTCTTGAGAAAACGGAGACAGTTAAAACGGGGGAATACCTCCTCCGGCATCAACGGACATAACCCACTAAGACGTTGTTTGGCCGAATCCACTGAAAGGTTCCCCTTGACAATTCCGCGTTTTATCATCCATGCTCGCTTATGTTGGATGAGTTCGGTATGTACATCCTGTGGGAGAATCCAATCACAAATTTCACTAGATGCTGCATAAACTCTGTGATTTTAAACTAAAGCATTAAGTAAATATTAATCAATCACACGTCCAAAACTTGTAAAACACACCTGAAAGAGTTCGGCACAACCATAATACGCTAAAGCATCTCTAGTCATTCCTGGATCGTAGGCTATAAATGGCCTCCCAGAAGCTCTCAACCTGCATATAGAGTACAAATAAGCAGATAACTACACATCTATCTCCTTAATAAGTATAACAATTGGAAGTAATAGTTGACCTGTACAGAATTTTTGCGGCAAGTTCCCGGACCTCGTCTCTCAACCTTAGAGCATGAAAAGCAACCCTACATCGGAGTCTTTGATACTCTTCAAGATTTGGTGGAAGTACAGGCTGAGACAAATATATGTTCAATATCACAATCAATAGAAAAAATAAAGAAAATTTCTAACTTAGGCTGTACACTGAAGACACTTCAATCAAATGTCAGCAAGAAATTACAAAATTTTCAGGATTAATGTGGAGGACTTGAAAAAGGTGTAATGAACTAAAGCGGATTAACATGACACGCAGATTATGTGATCCATAGATATCTACTAGTATTAATGACAAGTTATACAGAATGGTTAGGTTGTTAAAGGACAATATCCATATAATGAAGTAATGAACATAGCAGAAATAAGGATGTTAAACCATACTGATAAAATAAGAAATAAGAAAAAGGTGTCAACAAATGAGTATCAACTCAGGGAAATACGGTTTAGATAATTGAGCTGCGTTTAAAATAGCCAAATATTCCCTTAACATTCTGTGCTATAGGTGAAATCAGTTCAAAAAGGGGAGACTGGAAAAAGGCCCACAAAGGGCAAGACAAAGTAATGTTTCCTCTGCCACCCATGGCTTATGCTCTAATGGTCAAGGCATGAGATTTGACATCAGAGCGTAAGTTTTGAAACCCCTAATGAAATCCTCACATGGGTGCTTTTGGAGACAATGGTCTCACATAGGCCAGATAGATCTCATTCATAAGAGCAACCGAATCTGAGTAAAACGAGCAAAAAATTACGTGATTGCAACATTTAAAGCATGTTGGGAAGTGTTTATAAACGGTTTAAATTATAAATAGATAGAACAAGTAGTCGATAAGTGGGTAATACTTGTAGGTCAATTGAAATATGTGGATACAAAATGACTTGAGTGTTTGTAGAGTTTATAAACATGAGCCAAACATAGGCTTATTTCATTGGTCCTTTAGTAACTAGGGCGGATCAAATGGAGTAGCAAGAATTTATATTGTCGATCCAGAATCTAATAAGTATGAAAATTTAACTTATTGTTGTTGTGAACTGGATTATTAAGCAATTGATAGCCAATTATTATTCCTTTACTTACAATAGCTGAAAGCCTCTACAGCACAAACAGAAAAGACGAAAGGGAAATCGGCAACCTCCAACTTCATCAAATAGCACAAAAGTAAACCAAAGGTTGACTTATTAATATTTCATGTAACTATTAAAATTATTCACGTTCAAGAAGAACTGTTTATAAACCTAAGGATCAGAATTGGCATCAGAAGACAGACATTACCTGCAAGCATCCACCATCAGCCACAACAATCTCAACCACCGAGTGCCTAGCCAATACTGGCAGAACATAATGCAGATAGAAAGATGGAGATGATGTGCTGGATACTCTAAAAGAAGGAATTTCCTTCTTTCTCCTTGATCCTTTCAGATTCTTTGGAAGTGTTTTGACAATTTTGACATCTTCTGCTAAAGCAGACATGAACTGATCCTCATTATAGAGGTAGGCAAAACTCTTAAACTCTGTGCTGCATAAAACATGAGGAGTTACAAGATTGACAGAAAAATAGTATATAAGTTCAAGAAACTGAAAATTAAGTATGCAAATCCTCTATTTCATAAGGGAAAGCTACACCATTGGTCCACAACCTATTGTGCAAGTAGCAAGTTGGCCTAACTAGTCCTAGCAATGGAAATTGTCCAAATATTTAAATAAAGTGATCTCATGGCCATCAAGTGTCCAACATTATGAAGCAAGGTTTTGTTTTCTAACTTGGTTGGTGCCCGGAAATTTGAAGTCAAGCATGTTTCCATGAGATGACATAACAATTTAACACTATCTCTGTCGTTTGTAAGATTGATTGTGCAACTATAATGAAAGGCCGAAGAACAACTTGCTACTTGAGCAATAGGTTGAGGACCCATTTTGCGAATTTCCCTAATTGTACGTATAGTAGGAAAATGTCATGAATAAGGTGTAGAAATCTACCTAATTCCCTTGCTGCTTGTCGTGGATTGAATCTCAGGAATGACCAACGTAGCATTGAGCAGTCGAGAAACGACAACAATATCACAAATCTTACAGCAAAACATAAACCTTATTAGCAGATTTTGAGGGAAAATTAGTCAAATCCATAATAATTTTAACATATGCTCACCGAGTTCCTGATCTCATTAAAACCCCCTCTTACTTTTACAAAGATGAATCCATTTGTTTGCAAAACTGGAGCTGTAAGATTATAGTTCAAACACAATAAATCGCCCTGGATTGTAATATCTAAACTAGATGCCTCGAGACATGATAAAAAGATAATTACCAGCTCACATGTTGCAAAGTCTCAAATGACATCACAAAGGAGAAAAACTTCAGTAAACTAAATTAGATACAAGTTCAGAATTCTAATGTCAAATAAATCTCGTGATCAGAGCCACGAGACCATTCGGTGAATCCCAAGTTTACAATGATATATGAATGGGTTGGACGAGATCTAACCCGGATAGTTTCCCCGGGGATTGGCATAAGGATGTAAAGATTCAAGATGCTTTATCGGCCCCCAAAGTCTTCTCTGTAATGCACTCTGCATAAGATAGAAATTATGAATTCAAAATAACAGTTATTGCCAAACAAAATTCTCTAATGGTTGTGCACAACTTTTTAGGAAACCAAAAAATCAGCCATAATTACGATATAACATGAGAAGGAATTTACATTGGAACTCTAAAAGTAGAGTTCAAAACTCAAAAAGTAGCCAAATGAACAACAAAAAGTTGTTATTGACCCACACTAATAAGACTTGAATATTCTGGAAAACAGTAATACTTTTTTTCTCCAGATTAATATTAAGCTTTTATGATTTAGTGTAATTCAAGCAAAATCAAGAAATTACAAGAAAAAGAACCTCAGATTCAAAGTTTTAAACATGCGGAAAACTTTATAGGGCTAAAACAAACGAAATTACAGCTTAAACAGAGTAAAAATATGAGATCTTCGAGTTGCACATTACAGTGGTGGAAAGATCTGCAGTGTCAAAAATGGGCCTCCAAGAGAAAATGGTGATGGAAGATTGATACTCAGAGAGAGCAGTCCCAGCAGTGTATCTGGCAAGAAGAAAGTGTGTGAAGAGAGAGAAAGTTGATAGAACAAGGCCAACCAGGCCAACCCATTTCAGCTTTGACTTGAACACCACCGCCTTTCCCTCTCCGCTTGCGGCAGCGCTACCCATTATGGGCGGCACCCACTTCATCCTCAGATTTTTTCAGAGAGAAATGGCAGAGATTGGGATGGTGGTTGGGGGTGCGGGGTGAGAGGACTGGTTAATGAGAAGTCAAAGAGTCCAACAGAGATGGTGACGCGACTTTGTTGTACCAAGTGCGTGGTTAGTGGTTACTTCAAACATTAGTGTCTGTCTGCTGTTCATACACTGTTTTAAGTGCCATCCCACTCTCTGTGCCGGAGCGTGAACACAAACATAATGATAAAGTGTGTGAATATTAGCCCTTATTCGACCTACGTTCTTTTAAAACTCATTTTCAACCACACATTTTTTAATAAAGTAATATTTTAAATCACATCAATAAATTTTTCTTACTTTTTAATCACATATTTCACATCATATCACTATTTGAAACATATTAATTCCTCGATAATATCCATCAAATACAGTCGAAGTCCATACCTAGATCGTCTCGATATAAGTGTCAAAATGTGTAAAGAACTTCCAAGAGATTTTGCCCCGACAGGGGATTAAAATTAAATTTTTAACAAATTTTTTAAAAAAAATTGATAAAAATATGTAATTGAAAAATTGTGAATCCGATAAAATACATGATTAAGATCATGTTTAAGCCCTATTTTTGCAAAAAAAAAAATACATTTTGAAATAGTGATTTGATAGAGAATGTGTAATTAAAAAATTAAAAAAAAATTGAATTTGGGTATAATATTATTTTATTGAATAATATGTGATTAAAAATAAGAGAGATAAAAATATATTTTGGAAATAATGAGTACCAAACAAGGGCTAAAAGTAATTATTAATTTTGACTTAAATTGTAATCCCTACCAAACAGAGGTTTAATCATTCAGAAGTCGAGTTGAGGGACAATATGTTTAAACTTCTAGTAATTTCATATTTAAAAAGATTGGATGAAAATTTTGATTTTGTTTTAAACTGATAAATGATATACTGTCATGTAACATTATATAATTCATTTATAAATCATGATATATATGTAGAAAGATCCTTAGAATTTTGAAGTATGCATCATATCCATAAGAACTCATATTTAGAAAAAGAAGTAAAAAGACGATTTAGCTCTTGACTCCCATTTTCAAAAATTTATTTTTCTTTAAATTAATTTTTAATCACATATTTTCCGGAAAACATAATTTTCAACTATTACTTTATCAATTTTTATCAAAATTTACTAAAATTTTAATTTTTAGCTAAATCAAACGAGGTCTTTAAAAAATTGAGTTTTGCAAGCTCGATATAGTCTAAATCGAGACTGGATAATATTAAGCCTTTGAACTCCATTTTTTCCATCGAAATGCATTCTTGAATAGTGATTTAATCTCATTACAGTTACATATTTTTCAATAAAATAATATTACACGTAAATTTAAAAAAATTTGTTACGCCTTTATTATATATGAAAAGGACCCCTATTAATCTCGTGCTGCTAATTGTACTACTATAAAACATCAACCACGTGAATATTAAAATTAATTGCGTAAATTTTTTTTGGACCACAGCCTCTTCATCAATAGCAACAAGATGTGGCAACTAAAGCCGTGTTTGATGTGGACGGTCATTGCACTTGTTGGAGGCGCGTGCAATTGGATTTCCCGGTGTTAAGAGATCACGTGACTGGAGTTCCTTTGTCAGGTGACTTGGTGTAAATGGAATATATCCATTTTTTTCCCATTCGCTTTTTCATTTTTTTTTTCTTTTTCTACATTTCAACCACACATTCAATTAATAAAATAATATTACATATAAATTCAAAAATTTGTATTTACTTTTTAATCAAATATTCTTCCATCAATCACTATTCCAAATCAAATTCTATTCCAAAATAAATATCAAACAAGGGCATAGAATCCATAGGAAAACATAGCGCCACCATTCAATTTTAATCTATTTTTCTATCTCCTATTATCAATCACATATTTTATCAATAAAATAATATTGTACATAAATTCAACAAAATTTCTTATTTTTCAATCACAAATTCTCCAAAATTACTGTTTCGAAAAATCATTGTCTTTCAAATGGTAGAGCTCAAAAAAGGACATGTATGGGCTGAAAAAAATTATCCAATAAAGTAATAATAATGTGAGTGCGGAAACTTTTGCAACTTTACTATGGCCCATAAATGGGGATATTTTTGAAAAGTTTCATCATTGGAGGTTATGGAAAAAAATGGAAACTATAGTCCCAAACTTTCTACTTAGCCTCCGTTTGTGCCCCCATTTTGTCAAATTATAGTTAGGAAAATAGTAAATTTTTGAAGATTGTATAGTTAAAAAAAATTAAATTTATATGTAATATTATTTTATTGTAAAATGTTTGGCTGCTAAGAAGAGTGAGAAAAATGAATTGTAATTTAGTGAGTGTTTGACACTCATTTTAATAGGTTGAAAATTTTTTGGAATAGTAATTAATGAGAAAATGTGTGGTGAAAAAGTGATGAAAAGTTTTAAATTTCTGTGTAATATTATTTTATTTGGAGAATGTGTGGTTGAAATGAAGAAAGAGAATGAGTTCCAAACAGGACTTTAATAGGGGTCAAACACGAGCTTAGAGTGTGTTTGAGCTACATTATTTTGGAAAAATGTATTCTAGAATAGTAAATTGATGGAAAATGTGTAGTTGAAAAAAAAAGAAAAAATTATTGATGGGATGGAAATATTATTTCATTGAAAAATGTGTAGTTGAAAATGAGTAGAAGAATGAAAATGAAAATTTTAATATGTACCAAACAGGGACTCAAATGTAGCTTCTATGTTAACATTTCATTTATGACATTCACAGTTCCAAACTTTTCAATTGATTGCATCAGGAAGACAAATGGACAACTTTCCCCATGAAATATAATAAAAAAGAGGAAAACATAAAAGTGAAATAACGTCATTCGTTTGAGTGGGGTTGGGGTGGATAATTTTTATTGTTTTTTTCTCTTTTTTATTTTTAAATTATTTTATTTGAAAATTTTAAAAATATAAATTTGTCTTTTTAAAAATTGATTAAGTTATGGTCAAATTCATTTTTTTTTTTTGGGTCAATTAATGGAGAAAAAGACGAAAATCGTCTATTTATCCTCCAGTTGCAGCCAATTGAAAAGTTTGGGACTGTGGGTATCATTTTTTCTTGGGTTAAGGGACATTGATTTCTTATACTCATCATACTTATTGCTGTTAATATTAGTTCAAATATTTTTTTTTTTTTGAAGGGAGAAGTGTGGACGAGAAATCATCGCTCGAAGCATGAAAGAAGCGCTAAATGGAAGAGTAGATGTGTTATCCTTTAGTACGGCACTGTTAAACCCTGTCTCGACGAGGGCTCCACACGAGCATGAGCTTTCATCTACTTGGCACATGGTAGCTTACATGATCGATTGACTATGACACATTTACCATCATTTTCGCATATGATGTCATCCCTTTAATCTTTGTGTGGTGGCACCTTTTGGCCGGACCAATGAAAGCCGATGCATTGGATGAAGCAGGCTTCGTAGTTTCACTTATAATTGATAATTGCAAGTCTTCACCAGTATGCACACTTTTTTCTCATTAATTATGCAAGTGGTGTTTCCAGAATCAACATTTTATGTTACTTGTTACGTATGGCCTTTCTTTTGTAGGTTTCTCTGCTAGCTAGGCTGCATCATCGAAATCTGGTGAATTTAGTTGGGTATAACATGAGCAATGGAAGCTTGTAGAACCTTTTATATAGAATGTTTAGAGTTTGTAATCTCTGTCATCCATTGATATTAAAACCTCTATTCCTTGTGATAACTAGTTGAAACTTGAAATTATACAATTCCTACATTAGATTGAATCTGGTGTTACTTGTTGGAGTCCAATCTGAAAATTCATGTCACGTCACTTGTGTGGAACCACCTTGAATTAATCATAGAGGATTTTTTATCCAAATCAATTAGGACAGTATGGAACGATGGCCATGGACTCCCACACAGGTCGGACCATGGGAGATGTCATCTAAAAATATCATCATGACACAATTGTAAAAGTGTTCCCGTGGACGGTGGCATTGTCCCCGCCGACCAATTAAAAGAAAGTCGCGATAGCCTAAAGCGCAGGTTTATGACCTAGGCATAATGAAGATACATCATTAGTGAATTCTCCAATCTAGGTCAAACACTATAAATTGATATGTCTTTGATAGTAAGCTCCAATCTTGTAGCTTATATTAAGAAGGTAAAAGCCCACATAAATGGATCGAGCAGTCAAGAAATCTATCGATGCTGCTTACGATAAGTTTCGTATTTAGTATATCAAAAAGATTCTTTAAGTTGATATAAAGGCAGCATGTTATTTTTGTAGCTTTTGTCCTTTCAATATTTATCTTTCTTATTTCCTTCTACGGACCTGTAGAGCCATGTTTAAAAAAATATTATTTTTTATTTTTTATTCTACCATTTATATTTGTTCTTTTTCCATTTTTTTTTTAATTTTTTGATAGTTTCTCTTCATTTTCTATAAAAAAAAAAAAAAATCATATAACACTTTTTTCTTTTTCTTTTTTCATTCGATTTTTCATTTATGTAAAAGATCAATTTATAATTAAATTTTATATAAAGAATGTCTAATTTACAATTAATTTTGATTGATTATTTATTATTAAAAGGTGTGACATATTTATAAGAATAATTGGGTCAAAACCCCCTGACTTTTGTCTTTATTGCGGAATACCCATTATCCTTTCATTTGGTGGAATACCCCCTTAGATGACCTTTTCGATGCGGAAGACTCCCTAATGTCCAATTATGTTAGTTTATATGTAACGACCCAAATCTTGAAATTTGAAATTGTTACGAAAGCAACAACGTTCTTTTTTTTTTTTTTAATTCGGGTTAAATTAAATTTTTCTTAATTTCCTTTTTATTTTGTAGTTTGTCCCCTTGCGTTCTATTACAAGTTCTAAAAATTATTGAAACATATGATTTAAGGTAGATAACTTTGATTTGTTAAATAACGAAACTAAAATGGAGGATTAAA